AAGAACTACGGAAAAAAGCACAAAAGAAAGTCTCTGCTATAATCAGCTTCCGAGGTTACTAAAACGACACGTGCTTTCTCTTCTCCTTCTCGGGAGGAGTAAATACGTGTCGATGAATGATAGGGTAAAAAACAATACTCCGTGGCATGCACCGTAGATCTAATGGGTGAAAACAACTGGCCATGGAGCAAGATGATTCCTATGATGAAGAGAGACCTACTTTACGTATTTTCCGAACTGTTCTAAGTTTCTAAGAATCGATCATATCGTTATTTAATACCTACGATGCAGAGATTCAGTAGACAGCTCGTCGGATAGTTTAAAAAACGATACAATGTGTATGCAACAGCATATTGTATAAACTCACTTCACTATGTAAAGCAGCAGTGGCAGTTAGGCGTTCAGCGGGGTCGATGGCGAGAAGCGTCTCGATTAGTGGCAGGGATGACGGCGGGAAGTCTTTAAATGTCTCCGATATGCATCTCTTGTATGAATGTTGAGGCTTGAATATTGTTGCATGAGGCAACCTCGACTTTTTCCAGTATTCTTCTGTAGGAGAGCCACATAACTTGAATATCTTATGCAGCTGCTCAACCTGGGAGATCAAATATGGTAACAATCACGACAAAAGTGACAAAAGCCTAAGAAACATGAACTTATTTACAAGATCAAACGGCATTCGACGAACTGAAGACAGAACAAAAGATGTATTGGTAACGAGCTTCACCTCGGTGCGACCGGGCATGATAGGCTTTCCAGCTAACAGCTCGGCTAAAATGCAGCCAGCGCTCCAGAGGTCTACACCGACACCATAATCAGTAGCTCCAAGAAGAAGTTCAGGAGGTCGATACCATAGCGTAACCACCCTACTTGTCATTGGATGCTTGTGGTTAGGATCAAAGACAGACGCCAATCCGAAATCAGCTATCCTCAGGATCCCATCGTTATCGATCAGAAGATTTGATCCCTTTATATCACGATGCAGCACGTGACGGTTGTGACAATGTTCAAGCCCTGATAACAATTGGTTCATGTAACATTTAACCTGCTAAGTCCATTTGAAGAATTAGAGCTAAATACAGCATCCATTAACGAATCAGATCTCACAGATAGCAAAGAACTTTGTCGAGTAGCTTCGCACCTGCGATTCCGTAAACTTGATCCCAGGGCTTGCAGCAAGTCCAGCCAGATCGTGCTCCATGTATTCAAATACAAGATACAAACTACACGACATCCGGGACGTCACCAAACCTTCGAGTTTAACGACATTTGGATGATCCAAACGCCGCAGAATGAGAATTTCCCGGGCCATAAACTTGACGCTCTCGGGCTCCAAATTGTCGAAACGAACCTTCTTCAGAGCCACAATCTTCCCTGTCAATGAGTCCCTGGCTTTGTACACATTACTATACGTCCCTTGCCCAATCTGATCAACAACAATATTTACAAATTTGGGAATTCTGGTTTTGTTCATAAAAGGAAAGCAAAACTCGAACAGAACTGAAGCATAATTGAATCATGGCGATAAGAACATAAATGGAAATAGCCATTAAATTCCTTCTTCAACTCTGAAGAATCAAACTTAGAACAAAAGGAAACTGTTGATGAGAGAGAGAAATCATACTTTATCAAGCTTCTCGAAACTGTCAGCACGGCGAGGAATCCACCCATTGATAGCTTCGCCGGCGACGGCGGAGAGCCAAGACGGCCAACCAGCGGCGACTTGCTCCCCATGCTTCGGCGGATTACTCAATCTCGGATTCGGCCTCGACGATCGCCGCCTCGGCCTCGAACCTCTATCATCGTCAACCTCGTTCCTACTTCCGCCATTGCGGACATTAGCGGAAGCATCAGCTCGAATCTCACGAACCTCCGCCTTCGCAGAAGCCCTGATTGCCTCATCGGCGTTGGGTCTCTCCTCCGGTCTCTGAACGGGCTTCGCAGAAACCTCTCGCCCAAAAACGCAGCCCATTAAGAACAAACGGAATCGGAAAACTCATTGAATCATCCCCCCATCACATTCCAGCAATTTGGAATCAGAAGACACCGAAATTAAGGGAAAACAGAAACCCTAATGATAAATTTGCGATGGAAATGGGGAATGTGGGAGAAAACGGAAGTATGAAAGTGAATTAATATAAGGAGAAAGATTTTGGAGAGACAAAAGTAATGGAAAGCAATGATTTGGAGTCGGCCACAAATGGAGGCACAGTCAAATTCTTTTAAAACAAATCACAGCTTCATAAACACACCTTTTCAGTACATACAGACATACATACATACATACATACATAAACACCTCCAATTTACTGTTAATAAATACTCAATTTTGTTAACCAAAAACAAAAACTCAACAACTTCTGCTATTTTCAATCACACTCAGTCCACACTGAACTGACTGAGGAAGAAGATGGGATTTTTTTTTTTTTTTTTTTTTTTTTTTTTTTTTTTTTTTTTTTT